GAATCTCGAGGCAAAGTAAGGGCGTCCATTCGCTGGGATAGCGTGTCGATTGTCCTTGATTTGACGTGTAAATTCCACAATGTCGTCTTCAAAAGTGGCGCTGGTGCATAATGGAAACATGGTCGTGAACCAACCCACAGTCTCAGAAATGTCAATCTCGTCCGTCCAGGACTCTCTGCCGTGACTCTCACGGAAGAATGGAGGCGTCGCACGATCGTTAAACACGTGAGCAAAAGAATACATCAAAATCGATAGAATCAGATCGATAGGCTCTGTGCGAAGCGCTGTGTGGCACTGGCTTCCCATGAGAGACTCGGTCAAGTCTAGACTCAACTTGACCGTATCTTCAGAAGTATCCGAAATGTAGTTCTTTTGATGTTGCATTCCCCAATATTGCATATCAGGTGGCGTAACGTTGAAAGGGAGAACCTCGCCGGGACTTCCGTGGTCCCTGGCGTTGTCCGCTTGCAGTTGAAGCCATTTCTGGTAAGGTAATGATACATGGTTGGCGATTTCCCCGGATGTGACGGCATCTTCAAGGTCTTTCATGACGACACGCCACGATACCAAGTCAATGATGGCGTGGTGGGCAACAAGAAACAGAAACTGACCCTGACTCTTGACGTTGAATACATGCGCAGCAAAGACTGGTCCGCGGATAAGATCTAAAGATGATTGCGCGTCTTCGATGATGGCATCTATATCTTCCACTGCGGTGACATTGTGCAACACGACATTGTACGTGCCTTCGACTTGTTTCAAAACCACTTGCTGCCAGGTTCCGTCTTGACTCTCGATAAATCGAGCACGGAGCATGGAATGTTTGGCGACTACCATTTGAAATCCTTTTCGCAGCTCCTCATCTGCTGTTTGTCGAGTTACAGTCAAGAAAAAACTCTGATTATAGCGCGTGGAAGATCCGTTCGAGGCTAAATGTGTGGTAGCGACGTACATTCGCTGGACAGGGGAGAGGGCAAACGGCGTGTCGAAGCTCTCCTCCTGGTCATGGGCTGAATTTGCAACACGAACCACACGTAATGCGAGTTCCGAAATTCCCTTTAGCGCAATAATATCTTTCACGGTGACGGCCATCCCTCTTGATCTGCATCGTGAAACGACTTGCATGGCCGAAATGGAGTCTCCACCAAGGCTCAAGAATGATCTGTCGAGCGGGATTCGGCTGAGCGCCAGATTAAGAACGTCACTGTACACGAGCTGCAGTTGTATCTCGTGTTCTGTCATCTCCGTTGCTCCCTCACCCTGTGAGTGAACTCCGACAGCTCGGTCGTATGTTTCATCATCCATCTCAGCAATCCACTTGGACACTTGACTCCTCGCCATCTTGCCGGAGAGCATGAGTGGAATTGCTTCGACTACGATCCAAGTTTCAGGGACCATATAATGTGGCACGTGTCTGCTAAGCTGCTCTTTGATGTCTGCAACCTGTTTACTCGCCCGTTCCTGGGCTTCTTCTGGGATCAACCGGACATTGGACGTTTTAGAAGTGTCGGGCAGGAAGTCTTTCAATGAGAGGGCGACAACAAGGCGTTCCTTGCAAGGACCAGACTTTGGTAAGATGACGATCGCGTGCTGTGTAAAGCCATGCACCGATATATGATGTTCAATTTCACCCAGCTCGATTCGTAGACCTCGCAGCTTCACTTGGGTGTCTTTGCGACCGATGAAGTGAATCGTGCCATCAGGATTATATCGTGCCAAGTCTCCCGTCTTGTATAATCGTCTCGGAGCTCCCTGCCGTGTAAGAGGGCCCCAATCTGGCCCCGTAATAAATACCTCTGCCGTCTTTTCAGGAGCATTCAGATATCCTCTGGCAACAATTGGTCCTTCAATTAGCAACTCTCCGACGCAGCCAACCGGGACCAACTTATTGTGGTCTTCAGCATTCACAATCCAGCAGAGACCGCCAACCGCACGTCCGATGTTGGAAGGACTCGTTGACGGGGTCAGGTTGGGGTTTCCGGCCGCAGCGACGGAGCATTCGCTTGGACCATAGCCATTTCCCAGTTGTACATGCTCGGCCCAAGTGTCTATGTCAGATTTTGACAATGCCTCGCCGCCCAAAATTAGCGTTTTCAAATCAGGAACGTCTCTTGGATCAATGACTTTGACCAGAGATGGAGTCAAGAAGGCCCAGGTTATTTGGAACTTGTTGATGAGCTTGGCTACCCCTTCATTCATCGATGCTGCACTGGGCATGCAAATACATGCTCCATGCATCAATGCCGTCATAATCTCCAACAGACTCACGTCGAAACTAAACGATGCCAGCTGAAGAACGCGACTTGAGGAATCCATATTTGCCACCTCTGCCTGCGCTACAGCTCCGCTGCAGAAGGACGAATGCTCAACGACGCAAGCTTTGGGGCGGCCGGTGCTCCCCGAAGTGAAAATAACGTAGAGAATGTTATTTGGACAGACTGTCGTGACGGGAGGTTGAGTTTGGGGTGCCAATGCATCGACTAACTGCGGCCCCAAGGGGACAACCTCGAGACTCGAGTCTGTCCACTGATCTGCTTGCGCAATCGAAGTCAAGACCAGAGTGGAAGCGATTTGACTGATAATATCATCGCGTCGGCCTTTTGGATGCGAAGGGTCAATGAAAACAAACGCTCCGCCAGCCTTGACCACGCCCAACAAGGCGACTATGGCCCATGCAGACTTCTCAAAGCAGAGAGGGACAATGACCTCGGGGCCAACACCAAATCCTAAAAGATGATGAGCTAGGCGATTGGAGTAATCGTCAAGCTGACGATATGTGATGGAGGCATCCCAGCCGCAGATGGCGAGAGCATCCGGCTGCTGCTCAACGCGCGACTGTATGATGTGGTGCACGCAGCTGTCGATTACTCGAGGCTGCGGTTCGTTCCAGCCCCAGATTGAAGCCAGGTCGCGGTCGCTGATTAGATCCAGGTCGTGAAGCTTTTGATTCGGATTGAGTACAATGAGAGATGCGGCTTTGGCGAATGTTGCGCCAATATTGACAGCCTCCTCCTCGATAAGGGTGGACGTGGAATAACTGAGCGTAATGTTGAGCATGTTGTCCGAAACCTGAACCAGCAAAACAATGTTTCCCTACGGCGAGTTAGTTAGAAAAATAACCATTTACACTTGCTTCGATTCCGCACGACTTGGGATACTGACAGTGCTTTGGCTACTTCGGTTCAGAGCCGCAACCACCTTTCCGGGTTGGTGGACTTGGAACACGAGTTGACTGTCCGACAGAGGTGAATTATCCCCTGTTCTGGAGGTCTTCTCAACGTCCAAGGTTTTTGTCTGAAGTTCCAGATTTCTCAGCAGGCTCAGAATCGAGACTGATTCGTCCAGGAGGAGCTGGCAGGACGCCGGGGCGGCATCGATGGTGCCATCCTGTACCAACGACGAGAAGACAACGTGGTCCAGGCCAAGGTATTTGCCAAGCACAAGTCCCCAGGCGGCTTTGAAGACGGTAGGCAACTGAAATTCATTTTCATGACAAAATCGTTGCAGAGATTCGGCATTATGGCTCCAGGCGACGTTGACTGACTGCCGCTGGCCTTGCAGGGCGTGAATGTCCTCCGTATGCGAGACAGCAGTGTGAACGCTGCCAGTTTCTTGGAAATCCGTGCTCTTCAAGAGCAACGTCTCACCGGCGGGGGCCATGGGTGCGTTTTTTCTGAGACGTATCTATATTTTTTGGAGGGAAAACCCGGACAGAGCTTGTGAGATTGTGGCGTTGTGTTGGTGTTGACCAACTCTGGGGTATCTAGGTTTGTGCTTTGCCAAATCCGCAATGAATAGTTTCTATTCTCTTTAATGTTTTGTTGGGAACAGCTTCACCTCATGTGTCTTCGGTGGAGGCTCAAAACTTAGTTTTCTTTGAGTCCTGGGAAAGGGGGGATTGTCGGGACAATTGGCATAAATTCCAACAGCAGGTACACTTGCGCGAGCTCAAATTGAATGCGGAAATGCTCAGAGAAGCCGCTACAATTGCCCCAAACTATCTACTGGCTTCTCATTAAAGTGATTTTATTGCTCCTGGGAGTTCGCTTCACTTGCTGACAGGATGACTTATGCGTAGCACCCACGTTGAGCTTCACGCAGGCGCCTCGCAGTCCAAAGGGCACAGCGGAGCGCTTACATTATTTCATCGACGGCATGTCAAGTTGCTATTCCCAGGATGCAAATGTTCGCTCCACATGGAACGTCAACGGACTGGGCTGGTGCTTATTGCCTGTCCCGTCAGCAGATACACGTCGAATTGGTCAAAATTCAACGACACATAAGTGATCCGCTCTCAGCTTCACACCACCCTTGTCACGCAAGCAACGTCAGCCATTTTCAGAGGGGCGTGTGCATACAACGATATGAGATGGACGGTGACGGGTATAGATCCACGGTAAGCACGGCAAGCCAGACATTGATGCTATTGACGATTTACTAATACCACACCCCCTTTCGTCGGGCATGTCAGCGCACTTACCAGAGGACCACGGTAGAGGCGTGCGACACTGGCTGGGATCCAACGCGACGGCAGGTCTTGGGAGTCATGGATGAAGCGGGAGCTGAGCATGACAATTCTCCTAGTGGCCCGTGTATGCTTCTTTTCATTTCAGACCTACGCGTCAGCCTTCCTTGGCCACGTACCTGAAGACGTACGCGGGTTTGGTCATTGAGACGCTCCTGTATGCTTTGCGCACGCGCACACTTTCTATCGTCCGGGGTCTACAGATCAGGATGTACCCAGGGTATTGATCTCACCAGCCTAAGCAGCTCCTAGAACATCTATTTCCCAGAGTAGACGCAGTCTGTTAGCCCACCCTAGACCGACCATCAGTCGTGATTCTGCAGGTCCCATGTGCCACCTCGATACGACAAGAGAACGCTGCGTGATACTTTTCTGTTCTTGCCCGTTTCTATTTGCCTTGTAACCTGGCCAATTTCAGCGACGACAACAAACGCTCATCGGGCAAAAGCGAACCTCGTTGGCAGCAGCGGCAAGGATGACTTCGCTCGTCTTTCGTCAACTCCTTGGTCGCTCCGTAGCTGGAAGCTGCACCATTGCCGCCGAAGATGATTTTGGGCCAGTTGTCGAGGGATGTTTGGACAACTTTGACTTTACGCTTCTATTCCAAGAAGCTATCCTCTCGATAACCCCGATGGGCGTGACGATTCTCCTACTGCTTCATCGTCTTCTGTATTTGCGCAAGCAGCCTCAAAAAGTCTATTCTGGAGGTTTACTGCAGAAAGCCAAACTGGTAACTCCCACTCTACATTGGCTGGCTGCCATCAAAATACAATCACCCGTCCAGTAGCTAACGCAAATCGGTCAAGGTTGCATTCGCCGTCTTCACAACGGTCCAGATTGCGCTCGTTGCCATTGCAGCCCTTCCCGGCACCCCGACTACGGCAGCATCGCTGGCATGTGCTGTAGTCAACCTGCTCGGGGCGGCCATCATGTGGGTTTCATCTCATCTCGAGCATGTGCGCTCGGTCCGGCCGTCTCTGCTTTTGAACGCCTACTTCTTCTTCTCGCTTCTTTTCGACATTGTACGCGCGCGGACCCTCTGGGCAATCTCGCAGAATGCCGCGTTTGCCAGTGGCTTCTGCGCTTCAATTGGCTTAAAAGTCGTCTGTTTGGTCCTCGAGGCCGTGGAGAAGCAAAGCATTCTTCTTCCCGAATACGCCACGTATCCGTCTGAAGCCACGGCCGGTTTTTTCAATCGCAACTTCTTTCTCTGGCTGTGTCCAACGTTGATCCGTGGCTTCAGCAAAGAGCTGGTCGTTACAGAGCTCGAGGCCAACGATAGGTCGCTGGATCCGAATACCCATCAGAACAAGCTCCAGGCGCTCTGGAACAAGTGGAGGAGATGGAACAAGAAGATGTCTCACTCGCTTCTCGTGACGTATGCCGTTCACTTTCGATGGAAGCTCGCGGCGGCCGTCATTCCCCGACTCTGTTTGATCGGCTTCAAATTTGCGCAACCGTTCTTGGTTCAGTCAGCTGTCGTCTACCTCTCCGAGCTGAATGGCCAACATTCAAGAAACTCGGGCTATGGGCTGATCGCAGCGTACATCATTGTTTATGTTGGAATTGCGGTAAGACAAGCGATATTTCAATCCGCGACGGACAATGTCTGTTTCCACCTGGCCATGGCCGACTGACACTTGCTTTCCTTTTACAGATCAGCGGTACGAAAGCACAGCACAAAGCATTTCGTCTCATCACAATGATCAGAGGAACTCTGATTAGCCAGATTTTCGACCATACCCTCAAACTCAGCACATCGTCTTTAAACGAATCCAAAGCCGTTACGCTAATGAGTTCTGATATCGAGAGAATCGGCACAGGATTGCGCAACGTGCATGAAATTTGGGCTTGTATCATTGAGATAGCACTGGCCATGTGGTTACTCCAAGGTCAACTCGGAATATCAATTATCGCGACTGGACTCGTCACTCTATGTGTGTGCTTGCCTCTCTCTAGCCCCGGCGAAAAGTAGCTCTGATCTGACATGGTATAGTCTGCACTGGTGGCGCGGTCTGGGTAGCAAAAGGTGCTGGAGACCGTCAAAGCGTCTGGCTTGAAGCAATTCAAAGGCGAGTCCATGCAACGGCAAATATGCTGGGCTCGATGAGGGGCGTCAAGATGTCCGGCCTCACCAATGACTTGTCGGCCAATATTCGAAAATTGCGTCTCGAGGAAATTAGCTCTTCATACGAGTTCAGAAGATTGCTTGTCCGCGTCGTGAATCTATGTGAGTTGCTAAGAGATCCGCTGGATGATTGTTTTCGCATATTGACGATTTGCAAAATAGCTTTCATGTCAACCGCTCTGACTCCCGTCATTACGTTCCTCGTCTTTAGCGTTTTGGCCAAAGTCAACAATTCTCAAACACTGACTCCCGAAATCCTATTTCCCGCCTTGACACTGTTTGAACTCCTAGCTTCTCCTGTTTCCGTACTAATCGAAACCCTTGGAGGTGTCATGTCCGCGGTCGGTTCCTTCCAGCGAATCGGCGAGTATCTCGCGACGGAAGTACACGTTGACAGCAGGAACAACGTCACATACGAGAAACACGGGTCATTTGGACTAGAAATGCCTCCAGTTATCCCCAGGTCAATCATCTCGATGGGAAGACGAGGGTTAGAAAACTGTGTGGAGGTGGCCAAACTAAGTGTTGGTTATGGCAACAACGAGGCGCCAGTTTTGAAGGAGCTTAATTTTGAGATCAAGACTTCGCAAATTGCTATGATTATTGGTCCAGTGGGATGTGGCAAGTCAACATTGATTCATGCATTACTTGGTGAGATACCCAAGACTTCCGGCTCCATCCATATAGCCTTTCAAGAAGCGGCGTACTGCAGCCAGACAGCCTGGATTACGAATGGGACGGTACGCCAGAATATTCTGGGGGAACTGGAGATGGATGAAGCCTGGTACAACACTGTCATCCATGTGTGCGCCCTAGATACCGACCTTGAACAGTTTCATGGATCTGATCTGTCCATGGTGGGAAGCAAAGGCGTCAGGTTGAGTGGAGGCCAACAGATGCGTCTGGTAAGTTCAATCACTGGCTTCGGGAGATGCTGGTGTTACTGACTTTGCTTAGGCGCTTGCAAGAGCACTCTACTCGCGTAAAGCAGTTATTTTCCTTGACGACATCTTCAGTGGCTTGGACTCAACGACGGAAGAGAAGATTTTTGCGCGCCTCTTCGGCCACGACGGCCTCTTCCGGAAACAAAAGACAACAGTCATCATGGCAACCAACGCTGGTGAGTTCCTGCGTCCTCGCAGCAAGGTCAAGACTCATTTGCTGAATAAAAGTCGTCTAGTTCATCGCCTGTCCTCAGCAGACCACATCATTGCCCTCAGCAGTGACGGCCGAGTCCTCGAGCAGGGCAGCTTCGAAGAGTTGCAGGCTACCGGTGCTTACACGCGCGCGCTGGCACCATCGAAACGCAAGACGGCGTCTGCAGGAGACCCCATGACGACGCAGATCAATACCCAGTTGTCACATGCAATAGCCCCAGAGGTTCCAAAAGGCTTGCAAAGACGCACGGGCGATGGAACAGTGTATAACTATTACATAGCCACTTTTGGCTGGTACAAGTGGTCAATTCTCATGTTCTTCGCTGCGTGCTACGGTCTATTGACCGTCTTCCCTCGTGAGTGAAAGCGGAAATGAAAGAGACTAAACCATCTCATTTTTATCACATATACTGACCAGGATGCTTGCAGAGGTGTGGGTTAATTGGTGGGCAACGGCAAACTTGAAGCAGCCGAGTTCACAGCTTGCATACTATGTTGGCATCTACGCCGCCCTTAGCATTCTGTCTGTTGTAGCGCTATTTGCATCTTGCTGGTAGGTTTCTCATTGCCGAGTACGGCGGTTGGACTGAACAGGCTGACAAAATGGTCACAAGGCATCTCATCATCAACTTGGTCCCAAAGACAGCCCTGAAAGTACACGACACTCTACTTCGGACTGTTCTCAAGTGCGTATCCTCAACCCTCCAAGTTGTCATCTTTGCTAACAAGGAATTGAATTCTGCAGTGCACCCATGTCCTTTTTCGCCAAGACCGACACTGGCGTCACACTCAACAGATTCAGTCAGGACCTGGAGCTCATTGACATGGAACTCCCTCTGTCAGTCATCAACACCGTCATAAGTAAGCGCCCCTCTCTAACCAGTCGGCCTGCTATTGCCCTACTAACTATGATTCAACAGTTTTCGCAGTCATCATCGCCCAAAGCGTTTTAATCTGCGTGACTGGCCGCTACGTTGCTGCGGTTCTTCCCTTGTGTGTTGGCATCGTCTATGCCGTGCAAAAGTATTACCTCCGCACGTCGCGACAGTTGCGGTTACTCGACATTGAAGCAAAATCGCCTCTGTTTTCACACTTCCTAGAAGCCCTCTCGGGGCTGGCTACCATTCGCGCGTTTGGCTGGCAGAATGGATATCTCGAGGAGAGCAAGCGCATCCTCGAGCTGTCACAACGCCCTTACTACATGTTGTTCTGTGTGCAGAGATGGCTAGGCTTGGTTCTTGATCTCATCGTCACCGGCATCGCCGTGGTGCTTGTGTCGATTGGCGTTGAGGCCAAGGGTGTTGTTGACACGGGGCTGATGGGGCTGGCGCTGGTGAACATTGTGAGTTTTAGCACGAATTTGAAGTTCTTGGTGACCAACTGGACATTACTGGAAACATCCATCGGTGCTGTTTCGCGCGTCCGTAGCTTTGAGCAGGGCACCGAGTCGGAGAACAACGACGATGGGCGGCAAAGACAGCCGCCGAGCGATTGGCCTAGCGCGGGTGCAATCACATTTGAAGGCGTGACGGCGCGGTTTGAGTAAGCCTCTTGAACGTCGATTCTGCTTGCAGATGCTGACACTATGCGTCGTAGCGAATCACTACAAAAGAATGTCCTCCGTGACGTGTCCTTGACGATCAAAGGAGGGCAACGCATCGGCATTTGCGGGCGAAGCGGCAGGTTCGTCATGATTCTTTTTTCTCTTCTTCCGCTACACAAAAATGAATGCTAAGGGCATGTTTCTTCAGTGGAAAGTCTTCTCTAGTTTCCACCCTGTTCCGCCTCCTGGATCCCCATGCCGGCCGCATCACCATCGACTCAATCGACATTTCCACTCTCGCACGGCATGAAGTGCGCTCGCGTCTTACCGCCATTCCTCAAGAACCTTACCTGCTCACAGGGACCATCCGCGTAAACGTGGATCCATTCGGCCGGGCATCAGATGAAAAGATAATCAGAGTGCTCGAGACGGTCGGATTGTGGAAGTTGGTCCAGGAGAAGGGTGGCCTTGATGCCGTGATGACTGAAGGTTCATTCTCACACGGCCAGCGCCAGCTTGTGTGTCTTGCGCGCGCCATGACGAGAGAGAGTTGTGTGCTCGTCATGGATGAGGCGAGTAGCAGGTATGTTTGCTGATTTCTCGCCTTGCGATTTCTGTTACCTCGGGTCCTTCTTCTCACCCAGTTCGCTGTTGTGTTTATAAGGATTCCTCTCCTCCTTATTTCCTAAATGAAAGCAAGCATCAAAGAAAAACATGTCCTGCTAACGGTCATTTCACTGCAACAGTCTTGACGTCAAAACGGATGCACTTTTTCAGCAAGTTATCCGCTCCGAATTTGCAAAGCACACGATTATAGCAGTAGCGCACCGCCTGGACACCGTAGTGGACTTTGATTACGTTGCTGTGCTAGACGACGGAGTGGTGGTAGAGTTCGATGCGCCAGAGGAGTTGCTCAAGCGCCCATCGGCGTTTAGAGAGCTTTACGAAGCACAGAAGGGGGAAACGATCGAGGAAGAGGAAGAGGAGATATCAGATTCGACTACTGCGAATGAGAAGTGGGGATGGATGTGGGAATAATACACTCGAAGTATTGATGGCGTTGCGGACAAGTCGGTAGATGGCGTCGCGGTCCTTTGCGGGGTTCACTTTTAACATGATCATGTTAGTATATTCCAGTATGATGTTCCCATAAAGTCCTTTATTTTTCTTCATCGTTATTCTCTCCGTCTTGGAAGTTACGAGTTGTGTGGCACACATGCTTCCCCCCTCGGTAGTCTATACGGCAACTGCCTTGAAACCACCAGCTAGGAATTGAAATGTATGTAGTTATATGCATGTGCTAAATAGTCTGATGTCTTGGTCTAATCTAAACTTGCTAGGTCTTCCTCCCGTCTCCCGTCAGAGGGCGGCTCTCAATGCACCCATTTGATTCAGAGACAAAGCAATACGCATGCCTTCCATGTTCTTTCGGCTTAATTCGTCTTCGGATTCCGGACTCAAAATCTTTCTGCGTCGCAACATTGTCTCCGGAGCGACTGTTTTCCTTCCCTCCTTGAAACAATACTTGGAGACGACTGCAGCGATTACAACAGAGCGAGCAACTTCTTCAAGAGCCTTGTCATCTTGATCGGGACCGTCTCGAGCAGCGGACAGTCGACGACTGCCTCCGGATACTAGAAAGTAACTGGCCATGTACAGCCACTTCTCATCCCACGATAAAATTTGCGATTGCAACTCATATTTTTGGAGGGGGGAAATCGCCTTGAAGAAGGTGCAGGCGACGCCTCCCAAGGCGAGATTCACCTTTGCGCCGCCTAGCTGGAGACAATCGGGGAAGACTCGCGCCAGAACCCGCAGCCGGCTTTCGTCCAAGTCGGAGAAGTAGCTCGAGTTTGTCTTGTGTAAGTTCATGTCGATCTCCATGAGGGGGCACCAGGTGGTGAGGACTTCTGGTTTGAATAGAGATTGGTGATCATCAAGCTTAGCACGGTTCTTCCACATAAGAACAGAGTATAGAGATCTTATCTGAGACAAATGCGCATATTAGCACTGAGTCAGCTTATGACCGTCAAGCATGCAAATGAAGACGGCAGACTTGCAGGACGAACAAAGGAACAAGGGGCAAAGGATCGCGCGTGTTAGGAAATTGAGTCATTCAATGTCGGCACCTACATGGTACATGCCGGGAAGGCACTTGAGGTTTGGCCCGAATATGGCCGTGGTGAAAGTCAGGCCGACAGCCACACCGGCGACGCATGTTGACGAAATGAGGCTCATGATGATGTAGATAACCAAGTTATCCAGCGGATTCCAACAAGAACTTGCAGTCTTGATCCTCGACTCCTCGACCCTTCGGTTGTGCAGAGGACTCAGTTCAAGCTGCCGTGGCACGGAGGGAGAGCACACCGACGGATTTCTGAATGTGCGGTTGTCGTTGTGCAATGTCAAAGACATCAGTATGTTTCATGGGTGCCGCGGCTGAAGGCACCTTTGACTGAGCCGTGTGTCTGTTCGGTTGCCTCAATTCGGGTGACTCGCCGAAACACCACGGCCTCGCCGTCTTTCTACTGCCAGGGGCCTATCAGCTATGATGGATATTGCGGAGGGCGCAGATGAGGCTACGAGCCGTGGTTGCTCCGCTATTTTGCACGAATATAACGAGCTAGTAGGGAGGCAGCGTTCAATGTTCCTTGTTTCCGAAATTGTTGAAAAGAGGAATAGTCGGGACGTGGAAGCCGGTTATCGCGGCCCGGATTTTCCAACCAACTACAGCTGACGGTAAGAAACACAGCGTCAGCATTTGATTTGCAGGGATGGTAAACACCCTTGCATGAATGTACATTCATAGTCATACAGGCTCAAGTTCACATCTGTGCCTTGCTTATGCCACGTGCAAAGCTCGTGGTGTCTTACTCCACGTAGCATTGGTAAGCTGGGCACACCCCTCCCATGTAGGGGTCGAGTAAGCAGCAGGATGGCCCAAATACCAGCAGAGAGACGTGAAAAGACTCCTGTTCACCCGTTTCACGCCCCTTGATGAGCGGGTGTGGGTGGTTCATGCAGTTGATGACTACCAAACCGGTGCCTATGCACAGTTGCTGAATCCTTTCCTATACCCACAGCTTAGTATTCTTGTATACATTCATACGGCTATTGGTAGCTAATGCGTACTGTCCCAGAATCATAAAATTTATTCTTAGCAACGAATGCCTTTGTCCTAATGCAATATCCACATCTCACTTCTACACGTGGGACACAAGGTACCACACGTGCAACTAGGTTCTCCTGGTGCGCAGGTTGCATCGTCAGCATGACTGAAGACGAATCCCGGTCAGTATCGTTCTAGGATTGTGAGATCATAGATGCTTCGGGTATGGGTGACAAGATGTGGAATATACAAAAGAAAGGCGCTTTAATGCTGTGATGTATTGAAAAGTAGCATGTGAGTGGATCTGTCATATTTCGGATTGCTGCCATTGCAACTTTTGTACGAAATAATCTCTGTTGCCCACACTAGTGTCCTGTTGAAGTCGCTGACCATTACTATGACCAAGCCCGACAACTCCTAGACGAAGTGTGTGTGGTATAGTTTTTGTTGCAGCAAGTTCTCCATTCTTCGTTTCTATCATACCCTCTCAAGTCATTCTTTAACCGTTTATACAGCTGTGGCATACTCACTCACAAATGGATGTCTCAGCTGCCATAACAGAGCCTCCAACACCATTCTGGAGTTCCACGGATACGGCAACCGGCTCAGAAAATACAGATTCCTCTCCAAGCTCACTCATCGTTGTTGATCCATCAAAAGCCTCACAACATATTACGCTTGAACATGGCGATTTTGCCTACCGATGGAATGTTCCTAAACCTCATTATAGCTACATATTGCGTTCAAAAGAACAGTTTCTGGCAACAATAAGCGCAGGTGATGAAGAAGAAACGTCCTTCTCGTCAAATGTTGAGTTGGTATCCAGATTCTTGCTCCATCTGATAGAGCAGGATGAGCTTGATGGCTGTAAAACGTCCATGAAAGCTCGAGAGGAATGCATCGAAACTCTCTTGTGGAGACTGGAAACAGATTTTCTCCGAGGTGCCGATATTCACACATTAGCATGTCAGCTGCCAGGAAATGCAAAGCAGCGACAAGTTGTCATTCAAGCATACACGGCCGCCATGGTTTGCACAAAACGCGAGGATAATCGAGCAGAGCTAGAAACAGCCCTGTTCCCGTCCTCCACCGAGAAAACCACAAGGACATATGCCATTTTCGGCGGCCAAGGCAACACCCTAGATTATTTTGGGGAGTTGCGGACTGTGTACAAGACATATAGACCTCTTATTGAGAGGTTTATAATCGTGGCTGAGCAAACCTTTCAAGACATACTAGCAAACGCTTCCGCTGCTCGAACAAGACAATACTGTCGAGGCATGGCCATCCTGCAATGGCTTCGTGAGCCACAATCGACGCCGGATCAAGATTATCTTCTCTCCGCTCCTGTCAGTTGCCCGTTGATTGGCCTCCTCCAGCTTGTGAACTTTGCCGTCATATGTCGCTGCCTCAGAAAATCGCCCGGAGATATCTTAAGTCATTTGTCTGGTATGACTGGACATAGCCAAGGAGTCGCAGTAGCGGCAGTTCTTGCAACAGTGACGACTTGGGACAGCTTCGATGCTGCTCTCGTCAAAGCCCTCACCATACTGTTTCATGTTGGGTCTGCTGCCCAAGGGGCAACTTCTCAAGTCACTATACCTTCAAATATCTCGGCAGAAACCGTAAAGAATGGCATGGGACTTCCCTCACCTATGCTAAATGTCGTGGGATGCCGTCTGGAGCAGCTTGAAACCTACATCAACGACCTGAACAGTCGCCTGGAGCCCCATCAACGCGTTTTCATAGGCCTCAAAAATGGTCTTTTAAATTTTGTCGTCTCGGGGCCTGTGCTGTCTCTGTATAGCTTATCTTGCATGTTGCGCAAGGTCAAGGCTACTCCTGGCACGGATCAATCCAAGATTAGGTTCTCCGCCCGAAAGCCCGACTTCTCGTATCGTTTCTTGCCTGTCTCTGCTCCATTTCACACATCACATCTACATTGTGCACAAGAAGCAGCTCTCCGAGAACTCGACACACTTCAGCTCGCCACGTCTGAGCTGAAGCTGCCGGTACATCACAGCAGCAATGGAATAGACATGAGGACTCTCAAGAAGCCAAATATTGTCCCTGATTTAGTTCAAATGATTCTTTGCGAGCTGAACGACTGGCCGTTGTCGACCGCCTTCTCCAATGCCACCCACGTTCTCGATTTCGGCCCAGGTGGCCTTTCGGGCGTAGGAATGATGCTGCACCGCAACCAAGAAGGGACAGGTGTCAGGGTCATTATGGCAGGCCTAGCCGAGGGTAAAGCCATCGAATGTGGTTATCGATCAGAGATATTTGCCAAAAAGGTCACTTTCAGTGAGAACTGGAACCGAGTCTATTCGCCAACCCTCATCCAACCGACGACGGCCGATATGCACATCGAGAATCGAATGACTCGACTTTTGGGACTGCCCCCTGTAATGGTAGCCGGAATGACACCGACCACTTCATCTTGGGAGTTTGTTAGCGCTGTCATGAACTCGGGATACCACGTCGAACTGGCCGCAGGCGGCTTTCACAACCCTGAGCAATTGACAACCGCTATTAACAGTCTTATCCATTCTATCCCAGCTGGCCGAGGAATATGTGTCAACATTATTTACGCCAGCCCCAAGCAAGTCCGGTGGCAGATTCCACTGCTGCAGAGACTACGATCCGACGGTTTCCCTATCGACGGACTCACTTTTGGTGCCGGCGTTCCGTCTGTTGAAGTGGCAAGGGAATACATGGCGATGGGTTTTCGGTATTTGTCTTTCAAACCAGGCTCAGCATTTGATATTGATCAAGTCATTGCCATTGCCCGGCTCGACGAGACCTACCCTATACTGATGCAATGGACAGGCGGTCGAGGAGGGGGCCACCATTCCTATGAAGATTTCCACGATCCTATTCTGAAGCTATACGGACGAATTAGGCGATGCTCTAATATCATCCTACTAGC